GGTTTTCCAGATAAACAGTCTCTGATGATCTATAGGCAATTGCCATGGTCATATTCGGCATCAGCATAGTCGATAACCTATAATTCACTAGATCTCATTGAAAACAGAATTTGACACTTAAGTCGGTTCCCTCGTCACTGCCAAATTAAAATCTAATGAAATATTTATGAACAGAAAAAGAAACTTATAACAGATTATAAATGTTACACAACATCTTATATGCGTATATAATTTTAGTTTATGTAGAATAAAAGTTGAAATGAAATATATTGTAACTAAGATCTAGATACCCATTGACCAAAAAAAAACCACAATTTTTGGACATTATTAAAAGAGTTTCTAGCATCATAAACACACCTTCAAAGATATTAATAAGTCAAATGAATAATATTTATGACATTTTTAATACACTCAAGCAAACTATTATTGAAGAAAACTATTTTACACGTAGAGAAACTAGATTACTAATCAGATTGATTGAAAAAGGATTTAGAATGCTGAAATCATATTCTTACTTGATGTCGGCACCAGCAATAAATGATCCTGGTTTACTTGACATAAGAACAATTCCTTTTACTTTACTATCATTTTGTAAATGTTGAAATAATGGAGAAAATTCATTCATTAAGTCTTTTGATAATGTGTTCACCTAAAAACAAATAAAAAAACAAAGAAAATACATGATTAAGGATTTTTACAGATAATACAAAAGACAAACGTTTTTAGTAATCGTCTTTCGATAAAAATATGAGTACATCGACTAGTGTTTGTAAACTAATTAGTGTTATTTATTTTACTTTCGAATTTTCTTGATTAAATTTAACAACGGCAATATCATCTTTGTATTCAACTTGAATATTTTTCATTTGTGGTAAATCTAGAAAGGAAAGAATTAAAGCCATTTACTTAGTAGACATGTAACAATTCTTTTGCTCACCTGACGTCTGAGAACTAGTTGCAGTATTACCGCTAGATGGTGTTGTCATACTGGAAGCAGAATGTTTGAAAATTTGTTCACCTATTAAAAAAAATTGTCAACATAGGAAGATATTTGATTTCAAAAAAGTGAAAGCTTACCGGGATGTCCTGCAATGCGAAGATAACGCTGGTATCTGTTAAATGTTTTAAGCAAAACAATAGCAGCCATCGGATCGGATCTATAAATGTCAAAAGACAACAGTAAAATAAAAACACTTTTGAAATGTAAATGAAGGAGAATTCTTGTCAGAGCTTAGGATATAAAGACTTATTATAATTTTGGATTCAAAGATGGTTGTCATCGAGAAGTCGAGCGAGTCGAGAAACATTATGTATATTACTATAAATCGCATTCTTCACTGAAACTCAAGACAAACAAAAATCATCAACTCTGAAATTCATAACACTCATCTCTGTGGTTGTCTATTTATGGCATTTATTAAGAATTACAGGAACGTAGTTGAACTTTTTTTGAAAATATTAGCAAATCCAATTCGAGGTCTCCATCAGACAAATGAAAATGATGAAAAATGAATATTTGAAACTATCTGTGATTAATCTTGCATTTCTAGAGCGGGATCCCACTGTTGTTATTTTACACGAATATTCTTTTGAATCGATGTTTTAGCTGTATTCAATAAGCTTCGTTTAATTCTTCTCTTACTTATAGAAAAGTCAAAGAAACCATTTACTCAGGAGTCAATAAATTAATCTTTTCTTTTTTCGTTTTAGCGTTTTACAATCCACATATAACAGTGGAATTTATAAGTCCAATTTTTAATCACAGTTTTTTGAGTGTTTATTTTCATAAAATTCCCTTGTCTGATGAAGACTTGTTCAAACTATTCCTTTAGCAGATGCTCCCCACAAAACGTAGTGATATTAAAGCTAGTGCTCTCCATATACACTTGGTGTTCCCCCACGGTAGGCTAAAGAGTGCGGTAACATTATAGGGGATGCTTCCCCATACGTATATGGTGTTCCTCTATGTTAAAAAAATTGAGTAAGATTGTAGTTTGAGTCTTTTAATGCCAAAATGAAAGAATAAATAATAAGAAAAATAAAGTAGTAGTAGAAAGAAGTACAGAAACAGAAAAGCTTGTCAGCGTTGCTTCCACGAAGCAAAAATATGAAAACTTCCTACTGAACTGTTGGACTATAACATAGAACATGTAATAATATATGGTAATAATTTTTAAAACTTGTGTGTAAAAACATCAGATGCACGGTCTGTTACTAATTCATTCAGTAGCTGTAAACATCAAATTTATATTGAAATTTGATCGATCATAATTTCACCCCGAAAGTTTACAACTACTGAATTGTGTGTTTATAGCTACTGACAAAAAACCCTTTGCAAACCCCAAAAAACCCTCGTATATAAACTTTATACTTCCTTTCGGAAAATGGACAAGCCCTAGGAAGTTTTCACAAAAAGCATAAGGAAATACAAATAGTAAAGTATGATTCAAGGGCCAAGGGATGCCGTTCCTATGGCCTCAGACGTTTTTCTTCGACAGCTTTTCCTTGCCTTAAATACATTGCAAAAGAACTGTAATCAATAATTATTTATTCAAATAGTCTAAGTGCATTTGGACGATTACAAGCTCGATTTTATTTTGAATGGATAATTATTGATTACAATTCTTTTGAAATATATTTAAGACAAGGAAAACTATCGAAAAAAAACGAAGAACCACGAAAGGAAGTCCTTTTTTCCTTGACCGTTAAGTCAGTAAAAAAAACAAAAACATTTCGACAAAAGAGAAGGCGATGAATGTCTTTGTACACTGATCGATACCAAAATCCGTTTAAATGACTGTCCAGTAATGTTGACCCACGCATGGCTCTCAAAAATTTTGTTTTGACTTGACCCCACAAGCGTTCGATTAATTGTGTGTGATAACCAGTGTGCGGATCAACAAAATTTCAAGACACCATATACGTATGGGGAGCACTAGCTTTAATGACACCACGTTCTGGGGGAGTACCTGCTAAAAGAATACCCTTCTCTTCTTCAAATTTCAACTGTCGGTAACACTTTCAACAAAAAGAAAGAGTTAACTTGTTCAAGGTTTAATTTGTCTGAGTATATATTGCTTAAAAAACAAAAACTACTGAAGTAAATGACATTCGTTGTCCTTATAGACGTATCTTTTCAAGCAAGTCGGACGTCTTAAGATTATTATGTTATCTCAACAAAGATCGTCGCCCTGTAATATATCAATGCCTCCCGCCAAATGAAAACAGAACAAACATACACAAGAACGGACAGTTAAAAAACCTCGAAAGTAAAGTTTGCTTTGATTACTCAGTTAGTCATTTTTCTGTGAGGTTATACAATATAATCTACTACCAAATTGGTTATAAATTATCTTATTGGTTAAGGTATGTTAGAATAAATACTAGGAGTAGATCGTTACCGTGAATATAAAAAAATACGTTGACTACGGAATCTTACTTCTGACTTTTGTACCTGACGTATTTCAATTCATATCTTACGTACTGACCTTAAACAAGCGGACCGCAATGGTAAAGGCACCCCCTTTTGGATATTATTTATTCGCTAGAGTGTCGTCCAATTCAAACCTATCGAAATAGTCGCTATAGAAGTTGAAGAGTCACTCTTTAGGTGTCGCAAGAAGCTAGTAAAGCAATATTCCTAAGTGATTGATTCATCCCAATTGCCATAACGTATAAATTTTCAATAATGCTGATAAGAAATCTGACGTTCATACATGCCCAAGTGTTTAAGAGCTGGAGGTTATTTTATAAAAATTCTTAAGTGCTCAACTTAAATACGTGTAGACATTTTGTACATTTCAGTTTACCCAGGTTAAAGAATCTTACTGTAAGATCTTATAAAGTTCTTGTACGATTCCGTCTGATTTCGTAAGATTCGTATAAGAATTTGTAAGATTCCGTAAGAAACATAGAAACTGATTCTTGATGTAAGGTCTCATAGTAAGATTTCATCAGATTTCGTAAGATTCTTGTATGATTTTTATAAGATTTTACAAGATGAATCCGTTTCTATGATTTTCCGTAAAATTTTATAAGATCGTATAAGATCTTGATCTGACTTTTTGACCTGGGTAGCTTCAGTCTAGACTTAGTTAAGTAGAGTACTTAAGAATTTTTATGAAATACCCTCCTGGTCTTCAGAAATCAGATTTTTAGAATCCACCATATACTTTCCTGCTACTTTTAAACACATTTAGATACAAACAGATTGTAGAGCACGTCGAATTACTTTTGTAGAAAAATTTTCAGACTCAACTAACATCATTGTATAGAACAAGAAATCGATATCTTAACTGAGTCAGAAAGTTTGTATTTCTTGTGATTTGATGACATGGTTGTCACATAAGATGCCACAATCAGCACCAATAAGACGGAAACCTGTTGATCATGGTACCTCCGGTGGGAACTATGTTTGAAGGTTTTCCAGTAGTGCGATTAACGATGTTCGTCAGACTTGAAAATTTATATACACAAGTAACTCGACGGGCTCTACATTTTGGTTGTATCAGTTTGAACGATTTCTCTATAAAAATTGGTAGCAAATAATTTCTTTTTCGCACTGCTCAGATTTAGAATAACTCGAGTGAGTATATATCATCGACAGAAAAATAAAGTTCAGGTACAGTCACGGAAAAGTACTTGTTTCGTCTTCAGCACACTCAATAATCCAGTAGATTTTCTATTGTTGGCGAGGGATACTGACAAAACTTTAAGAAAAATTTTGAAATCAATATTGTTTTCTTGGAAATTGTTTTTTTCGCTATTTTGTTTGTAACATTTTTCCTAAACTTTTGGTGGTACGCGTCGCCAAAAATAGAAAATCTACTGGGTTATCGAGTGTGCTGAACACAAAAAAACACTTTTCCGCGATTCTAAGTGAACGTTACTTTTTTCTTAACGTTGATATGGATACGGTGTTATCTTCAGGTATATTGAATTCCACTCTGGCAAGAAAAAACGAATCATCTGAGCCCAAATAGTTGATTGCAATAATAACAGATTCTTTTCTATGAGATACAACATCGTCTTCCTCATGGCTACAAAACTAAAGATTTTCGATGACTACAAGAAGTTACAAGATTCCGCAAGGTCATACATCATCTTCAGATAAGATTTTAAA